AGGAATCACCCCATCCATCCAGGAGTACTATTTGATTGCCATGGCCTGGCTGGGTGTACCTGCATCTCTGTCCTCCATTTCTATATATTTAAGAGTTTGAATTCTGAGAGCAGGTTTCTAATGTGATACTCACAGCTCTGAATAGGGAGAAGTTTACATCTTTGTTACCTGAGCCTTGCATAAATCCTAGAGATCTCTAGCTACATTCCTTGTCTCGCTAACCAAATACAAAGGAAAGGGGGCTGTTGGTAATGGAAGGGAATCAGGAGGCAGAGTTCTTATCCTGCAAGTCAGGAAAGGCCTTTTGGCCCCCATCTCCAGACAAGTACTGGTGATATGTGGAGAAATTCTGAGTATTACTGGGATATGCTCTTTGAATGTATCTACATTTTGGTCTCTGCAATGCACAGTGAGAATCACCAAGAATTTTCAATGCCAAAAGTCATGCGAAAAACCTTTGGGAGGACAACCCTTTGTCTAGGCCCCAAGGATTAAAAAAACAATTACAAACATGGAGAAACAACCTAACAACCCCCTTCACTCCCCAGTGGCTTTTTCCATGGAACTTTGGATACGGCTCCTGAAGCCAAGTCCCACTCCAACCATCTGCCATGAAGAATCACTAAGAAACAAGGTTCACATAACCCACAGCCCAAGCTCACTACCAGTAATTTCTAGAGTGATATTTTAGGATGCCTAAAGTTGGATGGACAACACCAGCACCTGTTCATCCGATATAGGACAATTCAGAAATACTTATCCACACTGAGCAGTTCTCCGTCATGGACTGCCATGGCAGCACAACAGCCTGTCTCTGAAACAGGTGAGGAGAAAAGTCATCCAAACTGGGACTGGATGCTCATTTCCAAAATCCCATGAGACACTATAGACCTCAAATGTGAACTGCTCTCATCTTCCCTGTCAGCAGTCAGCAGCACAGGAGGGTGAGGATGTGTACATTCAAAGCAGCTTGCAAAAAGATACTCAAAGGAAACAGTTTTTTGTTTCACTTGATCTGTTACACAGATCCAAGATGACATTTCCTGTAAGTGTTAGTGTACTTCTGCAAGAGATTCTGCACTAGGTTTTCTCATAGTTTAGGTCAAGATATTTCTCCTCTCCTTGGTCTCTGGCCAGCTGAATAGGCAAGAGGCTTGCTTTTGCTTCCTAGACTTCATTTCAATCTCCATGGATAATCCTCCTCCAACTGCTGCCAAACTGCCAGCAAAAATGTAGTCAGATACGACAATTTCCTGCTTAAGCGTCATCTAGTTTCCCACGAGGCCCATTCCCACCAATTGCTGCTTTACTCCCCATCTATACCAAGCGAAGTAGCAATCAGCCAACTATTCAGTGTCAGAAACAAAGAGCATCCTCTGCAATCCAGATACTGCTGAGATCTGAGATCTGAAGAAAAAAGTCTCAATGCTATGAAGACCTCCAAAATTACTTCTTTTTTCTCCCAACTTAAACAAATAGTATGTCTTCAAATTCAGACCCCAGAGAGAAAGCTGCTCCCTCTGACACTAGGCAGAGACAGAGTTTGAGCCAGCAAGACAGACAAAAGAATATTAGTTCTAGCAGTCTGGAGGATGCTAATAATTCATTGAAAAAAAAGTTTTAGTTTTTAGTTCATCAGATGACAAATTACCTCTGAAGAAGAAGCAACACAGGTAGAGATGATCACGTAGCTCCTCTCTTCTGCTCTTGAAAAGTCATCCTCACTGTGGAACTTACTGCCTCAGGCTGATGAAAAGGCCAAGTTCAAGATATTTCCAAAACCGAAAATATTGAGTTGCTGAATGGCTACAAAAACCTCTTGCCTTAAAATCTGCGGCTAGACAGCAAGGCTGGAGACAGCATTGCAGACAGATGATCCCATAACTGCTGCTATGAAGTTTTTTAAACTTTCTCAGAAAGCATCTGAGATATGCCCCAGTTGAAGCTGACATACTGGAGAAGTGAGGGCAGGAGAGAAGTAATGTAGAGGGTAAGTCTCACTGAATGATCTCCAATCACTTGGTAAACTGAGTGCACTGTGCTATAGCCGCACAGAATGGCACATAGTGTGCTAAAGAACACAGATGATACAGGTGATACTTAAAAGACGGGGGGACTCCGCCTTGGCAGCAGGAAAAAGAGCTTGTTCACTGCTGTGCTTGGTCATGATGGCTGTAGAGAAGGTCCCAGGGAAATGATGTCGCCAGAAAGACTGAGGTACTCTTTGGGTATGCAATCAGGGCACTTTCAAAGGGGATCAGGAAGACAATGTTAGCTCTCAGTTCCTTCACTAAGACCCACCGCTGGTGCATGCCCTTCAGAAGGTGGTTAACAGACTTGAGAATATTCAGATGAGAAGTCAAGAGGATAAATAAAGGATGAGAACAGCATAACTGACAATGGAAACACCAAGTCACTCCTTTGGCCTAACTGGGAGGTTGGTCACTATGAAGTGACTAGACAGCAGGCTATACAAAGGTCTAGAAAGGACAGAAATTTGGTAACTTAGTCCTCCTTCACCTAGCAGACAAAGTTATAAATAGGATCCAGTGTCTGAAAGCTACAGCTGGATATTTTTAGTCTTAATTTAGTGAGGGTAATAATTCATCAAAATAATTACCTTAAGAGGTTGCTGTATTTTCTGTCACTCTTAACAGCAAGATTAGATGTCTCTCTAAAACATATACGTGAGCAATTAAATCGAGGCAATCCTATAGCATGCATTACTCCGGTCAGTCTGAGATCACAGTGGTCCCTCCTGGCTTTCCTGTCTTTGGTAAGACCTTCAAGCCCTGGGAATAGCACGCTGTGGCAGTAAGTAGAAAATCTGGCAGACATTTCAACATGTATCCTCGAAAGATACATAAATCCAGACACTACCACGATGCACTACCGCAATAGAACAGAGATCAGATTATCTCAGTAACTTTGCTTTTTCCAGGTAAAAATTCTGGCTAATAATTTGTGTATCGCATTTTTTCAGAAAGATCTTGTCAGGATGGGTAAGGAACCATTTGGATGGTTCAGATGGAATTATACCATCACCTCTGGAGAAGAACCTATCTTCAATGAATACGATGGAAAGCGATTCCTTAGCAATGGTATGAAATTCAATATGCTGAATGGAAACCTCTGTTATTGGAAATAGGTCCTTCCACAGGAAAAACCCTGTGCTCAAACCTATCAAATTCTTAATGTGCTGCTTTATACATACAAACAAATATTGTCAGTGGAGCCTGTTGCTAAGGCACTGTGGGATCAGAGAGCGGGAAAAACATCTGAACTCACAGATTTCACTCACTGAGATGGAGGAAGCAAAGACACACCATCCAACTGGAATCTGGATCTGTTTTTTCTTGGTTAGGCAGGGTCTGTGTGGAAACTAGACATGTTACCAAAAAGGATCCTTTTCCCTAAGAGAAAAAGCCGTGATGGCAGCTGCCTTTAAGAAACACTGCGTTTAAGCACTTTTGATGAACAAATTGTAACCAGTGTCCTTCAAGTTAAGAAAAGTAATTGAGCAGAGAGACTTGATGAACTTCCTTGAGCATCTCAAGTGTCAGGGTGGATGTAGGTCTGTCTGGCCCCTACGGAGCCAAGTACGATCACGGGGCTGGCAGGGCAGGTTCTTCGGCAGCCAGGGCCCATCCCACAGACCCTGAGAGAGGTGAGCAAGACAGGACCAGAGATGACAGCCAGGTTCAACCAACAGTCCAGATCACATCAGGAAGTTCATGGCAATGAGACAGGTCTGTGGTCAAGCTGGAAAGCCAATCCACAGGTCAGGGGCAGGATCAGCTCTGGTGAGGATAACCAGGGCCAAACACATACCAGTGATCCTCAGGGAGGTCCAGAGTGAAGAGACAGGGTTGATGTCAAGCTGGGAAGTCAGTCTGCAGGTTGGGGTACAAACCCATGGGATCCACAGACAGGCATGGGCATGTCTACAGCTGAGCTGGAGACCAACATCCTACAGTGTAGCTCAGTCAGGCACTGATGACCCAGAGCTGAGCTGAAATAGGGGGGCTGAATGTGGGTGGAAGCCCCATGTGAGGCTGGTCAGGGCCATTAAGACCTATTAGTGCACTCAAGGTCCCGATATCACTTTAGATTTTCATCCTGGAAGCAATGGACATGGATAGCTGTGCAGATTTTAGCACTCTCACCACATTATTTCCATGACCAGGGAGTCTGTTGCCTTATCTGCAGTTACCAGAAGAAGATGCGGTGAGTGCACATTCCTGAGCCCAGACTTACCAACCTAAAACCCACTCTCGGTGGCTTCTCTAGCCAGTCCACATCCCAGGTGCACTAGGTTTTCTCTGCACCATAAACACATCATCTAAGAGCAATCACAATAGCCCAGCCACCTGCAAATCAGTCCCATCCTACAGAGCAGACAGAGCCTGGAGGAGGACAGAAAGAAATCTCTGAATCCTCCCCCTGTGCACCTCTGTTCAGAGACATTTCTAAAACTGGGACAATGAATGTGCCTACAATCCACTTTTTTTGGAAACAGCCTCTGACACCCTTCTTAGAAAGAGTGAATAGGCTGACAGAAACAGCATAAGAATATGTATTTTAAAAGAGTAATAGCCCAGTTCTAAGCCTATGAAAAAGCCCCTACCCCCCACTAACAAAAGGGAACTTTTGAAGGAGACATTTGGCATTAACAATTCCAGGAACCCCACAGCAGAGCTCTTTTCCAGACAGCAGGTATCCAGCAGCACTGACCAGAAATTATCCTGCAAGGTCCTATTGCCCTGCAGGATATGAGTCCTTGTTTTAGCCCATTTTCAATAATTTTTATCCATTATCACAGAAAACCAGAAAGACAGGCTCCGGAAGGGAAGCTTGCATTCAAGCAGAGAGACCCAGAAAGTTGGATAGGTAATGCTAACGTGTTTTCCTTACCCGCTCCCACTACAGCTATTTTTTCAGCATTTGCCTTATAACCACAAGAACAAGACCAGGGTAAAGACACAGTCTCAGCTTTACTTCTTCTGACTGCTAGGGCCAGAGAAAAGCCAGTTGTGCTTTTCAGAAGTCATGTGTTTACAGCTGCCTCACAGACCTTGGTTTATAGGAAGAGCAGAGTCTGAGCAGTAGAAAGGTGGGAGGATGTACTGGCCAGCCTGCCTTGGGAGCTAATCCTGCCCTCTCCTGTATGCTCATCAGTGGTTTGTCACTGTACGTCATAAATCTTACTGGTCATGGGAACTAGGAGAGTTTAAAAAAAAAGGTTAAAAAAAAAAGGAAAAATGAAAGTTTACGGGGAGGGGGTTAAAGATACTTGCTGAGAGGACTGGAAAGCCATCCGCATATCTCAGTGACTGCTGGTCTAGTCTACAGCAGGGGCAGCTTCTTTTGCTTTCACAAAGGTTGCTGCAGAAACCGTGGTGCAAGAATGGCTTCAACCCCAGCATTCAAAAGAATGTTCCTTCTCCAAAACTGGCTTCCGGTACTCAAAAAGTGGGCATCAGGACCCTGCAGCTGCACTCTGCACAGGACAAAGGGCAATATCTGTGTGGACCATTCGTATCTGCAGTCAGACCTGCAAGGCCCACTTCAGGCAAATACCTCTCAGAGAAGAACAGTTGTGTTTTTCTTTTATGCTGGGTAGCCAAGACTGGAACCAGCAGCTGCAGCCTATTACTACAGAAGGTTGGGAGGATGGAGAGATATTCATAGTGATAAATCCCCTTGAAATGGAAGGTAAGAATCTGTTCTTGCTGAGCAGAGATTCAATGCACAGTCCTTACAGCATACTGCTCCTTAGCCATCTGTACAGTGGTGGACTAGAGACACCAAAGCCTTGGTGTCTGAGGGCCCATCTACACTAGGAGATTGACCTACTGCTGATCACCACCAATGGCTTTTCTGAGGACCTGAAAACACCTGAATTAAGAGGTGGAGTTTGGGGATGCACGGATGTTTAGGAATAACTTTTATGTGTGCAATCATAAGTACTGGGTTAGTTCCCTTGGGCAGATGGGAGATAATAAGACTAACTTTGTGGTGATGGAGGTAGAGGTATTTTATGCCCTACACCTTCTACCATGATCTTGGTCTATCTCCATGCTCCAGAGAACCTGCATGGGAGTCACCAAGCCTTGATCCACCTTAGAAGTGATAGTCTGGTGGACCGTGGTCCCAATTTTTTTCTATATATGTCTAAAACCAAAGCTGCCTTATCATAATAACTTAAAAACCTAACTAAAGCTGAATTTGGTGAGGAAGGAGTGTGCGCTCCCTCTGCTGGCTGTGGATGAGCAGCTAAAGAAACCCTCTAAGCTAATGAGCTCAGCTCATCCATCCTCATCATCAGCCAAAATGCTAGCAGCCGGACAGACATGGGCAAAGAGCAACCATGCTGGCTCACAGCATTAAAATCACAATAAAGCACAGGGCAATGCTATGAAAGAAGCATGAAGTTCAGGTGTAAAGAACTTCTCTGCATACTTTTAAAGCATCCAAAACCAGCATGTAGCAAGAATTTCTCTCAACTGTTTTACTAAAATTTTGCACTGAATTACATTTAATTGCTCATTAAAACCTCCCCTTTGTCTGGGGAGTGCAGATCGTAGTGTCCCTCCAGAGTGCAGATCGTAGTGTCGTGTAGTATGCTGAGAACTGCCTTTTCTCGAGCTCCCTGAAATAAATATTTTATTGCCTGTGATTTAGTAGCAAGCTGCCAGGATAATTTACATGATTTTGAAAACCAGTTTTAACTCACTGTCTGAAATAATTTCTCAGAAGCTCTTAAGAAAGATGCTTCTTCCCTAGCATGTATGTTCACTTATTTTTTAGGGGAGTGTAAAAATTTTGTGCATCACTTCAGCTAAACAACAAAATAAAATATCAAACCCCCAAGGAATATATGTAGAATTGCATGGACTTTGGTAAAAGTTCAGTGACATTACAGACCTAACAGTAACAGTGTCCCTCTGAGAAGAGATTCCAGCTCAGTTTTACAGTGCCCTGGTCAGCACATGATCTACGTCCTGCCAGCTGCAATCCCACAGGTCCAGTGGAAGAACCCACAAGAATGATACTCTCTCCTGCAACCCTCGTGTTTATCACCAACCACTGTAAATCACAGTCTGTAATGCAATAGATCTCCAGCAGAATACTCACTAATAGGTGCATGCAGCGCCACATGTTCTTGGTAGGGAGTGTAGTATTTGTACTGCTTGCCACAGAATTCACAGGTGTAATTGCCAGTTTCTGTGAAGATGAAAGAAATTACAAAGATCAGAAAGGACTGCAGCACCCTCTCACACAATCACCAGCTTCCTGACTTTTTACATAGAAACTGGCCAGGTGACAAAAACTAGAGCATAGTCCTCATGCACTTGGAACTTATCTGCCCTGTAATTCACATCCTTTTTCCCAACAAAGGAAACAGTTAAAGCCAGTGTCCAGAGTGTTGGACCGTGCATAAAAAGTCCAGTAGAACTGAACAAGCTACAGCAGATTATCCCAAGATTACAGCGAGTAAACGTGCAAAACAAATGGACAGAATCCATTTCTAAAGTCTGTATTACAGATGACACAGTTTTGTCTTCTGGTTACAGACAGCCTGTGATGTGTGGACAACAGGAACAGTCAAACTAGGAAACAAGTTGTCAAGTTTAAGTCTTAATTACAGAACTTTTATTTTGGAACTGTAGATTTCTCTTGCAGGAGGAGGGGCTTTTCTGCAATAACTGTGCTAATTCCTGCTTTGGGGGTACTTGAAATAATGAAGTAGTGTAACCACACACTGACACCTCCCGCTCCTGCCAGTGTTGGTAAGTACAGAACTGACAGCAAGCTGCAAGCCAAATGAAAATCCAGGGTTAATCAACTGTTTCCAAAATGGAGAATTCGGAGAAATGCTTCGGCAAAGTTTGGTCTTCTCTTTGTTTCACTCTGATCTGTTTGATGAACCCACCACAAAGGCAGTGTGAATGCAATCACCTGCCAGATCTGCCAATACACCTCAAGACCCTCTCTAATTGCTGCCAGCGTGCTTTTCTCCGGAACCTCTTCCCTCTTCTCTTTGCAGAGCTCTTGAGCAGAAAACATCACAAAGCTGCATTTCACAGGGCCAGGGCTGCTGGTGTTTGGTGTTCATTTGAACTTAAACATATCTTTCAGCACTCCTAAGGTCCCAACACCTCTGCATAACACAGGATTTTCTAGTTTTCCTAGAGGTACTCCAGGTAATGCCAGATTTGAAACCCTTGTACTGTCTCTTTCACGTTCAAAACTGTATAATAACTCATACTTGGACCAATCTTCTGGAATGGCTCTGGCTCCTCCTCCTTCACTTCATCTGCTGCTATGACGGCCTGGTCATAGGGGTCTGCAAGAGAACAGAACCAGCAAGAGAGATGACAACACCCTCAGGTTTTCCTTCTACATGGGCACTGAATGCTCCTGAATCTGTAATGACATTTCGTTCTGTAACAAGATTTCGAGACAGGAATTATAAACCTAATGACCCCTCTGTCTGACCTGTCCCTCCTCCTCCTCCTCAGGTGCCCCAGGCAGGTATTATCCACCCCTTCCAGCCCACTAACATGCCTTGTAGGTATATAATGTTTAAAAAAATACAGAGAAAGACTGAACAAACACATTGCAAAGCCTGATAAATATTTTCTGATTTTCTTCCAGTGCATCTCCTGTCTAATGACGTTATATTGTCTCAACGTGGGCACGGTAATGCAGTCTGCAAGCAAGTCAGCTAACAAATACTGACCAGTGAGTTCCTACCATCTAACAGCACAGCTAGCAACAAATCAGAACCCAACCCATTTTATAAAATAATTTATGCCTTGAACAATTCACTAAATCACCAGAGACATGAAACACCTCCTTCTTTGATTTTCAAAAGCCTGATCAATTGTATGTACAACAAAAGCCTCGTATCTACTAGGGCTGGGCATCAACCTACTGGCTGTACATGTTGGGGGAGGGAGAGAGGATGCTCCTCTCCGGCTGCAATCAGTGACAAAACTCCCTTGATTCTTACAAGCGTAGAATTGGACCTGCTGTGCCTGAATTACTGAATGTTTGAAAAGGTTTGTGAAATAAAGCACACGAAGGATCTCGGCTTACCTGCCCGGTTTTCTGGGGCCCCTTCCACACTAAAAACTAACATAGAATAGAAGAAGGAGGGGAAGAAACAAAACAGAAATTAAATCCTCTTAAATGGCCTTATTTTCCTCCTGTATTTCACGTACCGCTTCAGCATATTTCAGCCCCACAGAATAAACCAGGCTTTGTGCCCCAGTCCCTCCTCTTCCCAGCAGCATCCAGACAGGAACTATTTGAGCATGCCCAGCCCTAATATACACAGATTCTCAAGGCCTTTGTTCTGACACTGACACAGCCCCACGTGAAGTTCAGATGCACAGCTGCCTCACACTTGTGTTTGGTAAGACAGAACCAGCCCCTTGGAGGAACTGAGACAAACAGTGTCCTTGCAAGACACAAGTGGAAGCCGTTTCCAAAGCCCTCTCATAACTCTAGGCAGAGCTCCCTGAACCATAGCTATGAAGACACAGTTCTGACAGAAGCAGACATGTCCATCTCACAGTGACTCTCATTCCCAGTAATTTAATTTTGGCTCCCCATGGGAGGAAGGGAGCTTGCAGTGGTGCATTGCAAGAGAACACTGGCTGTTCTTAGAGCATGGTCAGATGTCCACACATTCCAGTTAAAAACACCAATTTTTTTGGACACCACGTATTGTGAAAAAACACTTCTTTTCTGAGACAGTCCAGCCATTCAAAACCTTCTGCTTTCCAAGCAGTCTCTTTCTAAAACTCTGCCAGGGCTCCCTCCTTGGCCAAGTGAGGAGCAATGCGAACAGGCTTGTAGCATATGCAGTAAGGGTTTGGAGTATCTGTGGGCTCTGAGTTGCAGAGCTTTAGATGCCCAGTAAGCACAGGACAAGCCAAAGACAGTATGTTGTTGCTTCTATTTCTCCCAATGTAGAAAAAAGAAACGCTGCTTCTGGAGGAGGGTGTCTGCTTCTGTCTGAGTGTCACCAGCCTAGGCCACATCTACATTCACAGAGGAAAAATTGGCCTCTAAGGTCCACTGACAACTGCATCAGTTCACTACCACAGTGATTAACAAGAACGAAACAACATTTCTCAACTCTGAAATGTGGTTTCTCACAGAGGAGCATGTCGGGAACAATCCTGTGAAGTCAGAAACCAAAAGGCAACCAACTCTTGCCCAGCGAGTAGCCAGACTGACAATTTACCTTGAGGCACTCAGTTCCAGCACATCCATCCTAATTAGGAACCTTAATACAGACAGGAGGACTGCAAGGACCACAGGTCCCAGCAGAGGGTGTTATTTTGATGCACGCAAAGAGAATCAAGCGCAGCAAACTTCTTCCTGCAGTGCCTGTGGACTCTGCCTCCACTGATAAAGGCGAGCGAGCCATGCTGTGCAATGTCCTGTACATCATGGGCCGCACGGTCCTGCAGAACCACATTTTGCCTTCCCCAATGACTTCTCATTCTAGTTTGGGTGTCTGAGTGTCAAAACGGTACTCACCATCCACGGCATGTAGGTCTCTGTGCTCTTGGAAGCAGCTATAATATTTATATTTTTTCCCACATATGTCACACGTGTACCTAAAATTGTCTGTAGGAAGAAGAAAACAGGCCACTTTAGAAACTTTGAGGCAAAAGGCAAGCACTCCGGACAACACTGCTCGATCAGATACCCCCATGCAGTTACATTCATCCCACATGCTCTGTCAAATTTCTAAGGCACACAGACAACCACTGCTTCACAATGACCCCTGCATGCCCCACGCTATGTGGCTTGGGGCATATTCTGATTTGTTATTTTCTGTTCAGGCAACTCTGCTCTCCAGTACAGCCTCCATAAGACCTCACAGCAATGAAGATGCAGAGCAGCAGGCGCTGCTGAAATCTCCTTTGGAAGTTCAGGGCTGCAGTAGGCAAGTACTGGTCAGGATGGGGACAAACTGGCAGAACTAAACACAGAGTCAACATGTGAGCTCTTAGAAGTCAAAGTCTTAATATGCCAACTACAACATGGACTGGATGTGCCTACACGCTCATGCCACACTTGGTTCTCACTGCTGCTGCTTTCTGACTACTAACCCCATCCAAGATCCTGTATGGGCACATTGTAACAAACAAAACCAAAGAGAACCAACAATCCAAAACATACAGGACAGTAAGGTGCTCAAGTGAACAGGAGGACTGATGGAGCCTGGTTTCATATATGTTTGTACCCTAGACGACCTCCCTTCATCCCAGCAACAACAGAACCCCTTCACCACAGCTGTGTGGGGAAGACAGGCAGATGCAAAAAAGCTCGAGATGCTTATGAATTCGTTTTGGTCTGACTGGGGACAATGAATGTCTTTGGCTCAGCTATCACATCAGTGTAAGAGGAAAATTTCACTTGTCAACTTGGTGGGGTTTTTCCATCTTCTGATATCTGACGTACACCTTGGGGTACAGACTGACATCCATAAGCAGTCGCCCCACTGCAACTTGCAGCATTGTACTTGTCAGCCGACCACAGTAGCCGATGGGTTGTGTGCTACCAGCCCATTGCAAACAAAGTAAAACACATCAGCTTGTGTGGCCACAAAGGATCTTGAAACTAATGCGTTCTACTTCACAACAGGAGCAAGCTAGGAGTGTACACATCAGCTACCGTGGCTCCACAGATGAGCTGCCATTCAGTAAGCTCCCCTGCAATAGCTCAGTTGCTTGTATTTATGTATCCATACGATTAGCAAAGTTAAAGCCTTGTTTTTACCTCTTCCACACCGTGTTGAAACACACCAGAGTATGCACATTAAGTAAGCTTTTATTTTACTTCTTGATAATTTTATTTTTAAAAGAAATATATATTTTAAGCTAGTATGCATTAGTACAGTCTAATCGCTCACTTGGGTTCACTACTGCAGTCCATCAGCACATGGGGTTTCGACACTAAATGAAGAATCACTTTCCGCCCTTTATTCTGCTTGGCAGAATGAAAGTAGAAGCTATGGTGATCTATAAGAGAAAAATGCCAAGTATAAAAGGTATTAAACAGTCGGGCACTGGAACTTTACTTCTGCTACCAAAAAATATTTGTATCTTAATCAGAACACAGCAATGCTAAGATAGATCTAAGGAATTTTAAAAAGTCTAGGCTGAACAAGCAAGACAGAGCCCAGGCGTATATACCGAGATGAAAAGGATTCACTGCTTGACAGCGCACTGCTTAAGGAAGAGCAGGAGGTGAAGCAAAACGTGACTGTGAGAACATTCAAGTCATAAAAGCACTTGTGGGTCACATTAAACTATGTTTAATTATATAACCTTATGCAGTCTCTTTCTGTGGTCATACAATGGTGCTGAGGGTCTCAGTCTACCCTGGACCCTTTTTGACAACAAAGAGAATCTAATGATTGCTAGTGAATAACTGTATACCTGTTGCAAAAAAAATACTGTCAATTATCAGCAAAGAAAATTCATACCGTGTCATCAGTAATCAGTCCCGCATTACTGGGCGTCCCTTTTTGAAGTGTAATGAGCCGTGCGGTAGATGAACTGAAGACTAATCCTTCAAAGGAGTACCAAATACCAAGCACTTTCAATACCTCCATTTGGAAGAAGAAAACTATTATGACCTTAGTTTGGAAGAAAAGTGCTCAATAAATAAGAAGACTTGTTAGAAAAGAATAAAATTAAATGCTAGGTGCACCATCTCACAGACTCAAACAGGCATGGCTAGTTGTAGTTTCTGTAACTTAGGAAAGATTGTGAGGATCTCACTGCCAACAGCGGAGACTTGAGTAGCACATGCTGGGTATGACCACTTCCTTCCCTAGGCGGTGTGGGGAAAATGAAAACATGATAAAAAGGGACCCCAAGAGAATAGGGTTTTGCTTGTTTTGTTAGGGGACTGTTTTCCCTATGGAAGAATGACCTCCAGAGATTATAGTGAAAGAAGTCATTATGAGAAGTAAGAATTTGTTCCAGCTGGTCTTGGTCCTAATCTCTTCCTCGACTCTTTAAAGGAGATAACACCCAGCAAACAGTGCCAAGTCTGAGAGACAAGGTTTACAGAGAATTCAGAAAGTATCAGGAGACTGCCGAGGTGTAGCTAAGCTCTGTACCCTCTCTGAACAACGGTCACTCTTCCAGGGCTGCACCCAAGTGCCAGACTTCTTCCTTCTTATCCAATAAAGTTGTCTTTGCTGACAGCCGTCGAATACTTCCAGTGCTGTTCCCAGCAGCAACAACCTTCTTAGCAAGAAACTCACTGAGCAGAATTAGCCTGTATGCTACTACTTTTCCTGCTCTGGGTCGTAACTACTACACCAAGGTAGATTCCAGCCGGGGCACCATACCCAACATAGGTAACAACACAGCTTTCAATGGGTAGAGCTACAAGAGACTCCAAGTGCTCGGGTGTGCCTGCAAGCCCATACCAAAACCCCTATCCCTAAACCTCTGAAGAGATGGTACCAGACAGCCAAACTAATGCTATTTAAGCAAGTGTGCTGATTCAAGCTCTCTCCTATCACGAGGTAGACATTAACACAGTGCAGCTCCACCAAAAGCAAAGCATACCAACAGGCACTATCAGGACTTAAGGAAAAATACAGGGAAAGATACTAATTAGCCCACCAGCACAGAGGTTCAGTGCTGTCCCCTACTGGTATTCAGCCAACAGTCCTGCAGAACACATCCTCGCTGCAAGCTGAACGATCACTGTATTACGCTGCTGCAAACCTAGAGTTTCAAAATGCTTAAAAGACATCTAGTTAAAAACCAAACTCCAGCAAATATCATTCTTCCTTCATGCTCATGAGTCTTTCCAAGGAGAGCAGAGATTCCAGAAAGAGGTCTAAGGAGTAATGGCCTTATATCCTTAGTCAGCCCACACTTAATCTCATTAAATACACGCACCAAAATACAGCATCACATCTTACTAGAAAAAAAGGCAAGCAACAGCCTTGTTACAAGGCAGTTCCTCAGATATAAAGGACTGACATAATGAGATGGCAAACAGGCGGGTTTTCTGAGTACCCCAAGAAATAACTCCACGGGACCTGAAAGCATTTTTGACCACTCTGCTTGCAAGTGTACCTCCAGTAAAAGACTGGGAACGTGCCGCTCTTTTCTGCCCATCTCCAGGGGCTGCTGCCGGCTGGCTCCTGTCGTGCAGTCTGCGTTCAGCAATGACTCGTAGTTGCTGAAATACCCTGCTCTAGGGATGATCAGCCAGGTCACCTTTCTTCCCAGATGTTGCATTAAATATTTTGAGATTTTTTAGTTGTTTTGCTTCAAATATTCAGCAGAGAAGAAAGCACATATTTCATTTCGGCAGGAAAAGAGGGAGGGAGGAGAACACATGCCCAACAGTGGCAGGCAGAAGAAGAGGCTTCTTTCCTTAGGGCACTTGGCCCAGGGCCTCAGTGGATTTTGCTCTAGAAACCCGGGAAGGGAACAATAGCAATCAGAAATTTGTTGAAAGGTCAGGACTTCTGTATCACAAGCTAAAAATACAGATCACTTAACCCGCCCTTGTAAGTGCAGGAATCCGAAACCACAAAAACTGTGTACAATCTAGTTTCCACTGGGCTCAAAGAGCTCTGTGCAGCATCACAGAAACCCAAATTGGCAACAGTTAATACACCATACAGATGATATCCCTGCAAAGATGACAGCACGTCCCATTAAGAGTCCAGAATGATGGGGTCTCCACACAGCAAGCTGCGGGAGCTTCTTAAGGACTTCTCCAAGGTGAAGAACAATTTTCACCTGACCCAGAATTCACACTGACCTTTCAAATGGAAGAAGCCACAAAAGCTACTCGGTAGAGGAGCTCTCATGGCAACTAGACACTTTGCAGATACTCTTGAATCCTAAGTGAGCCTGCTCTTATAGAGCACTGCAGAAATAGCTGTCTAGTAGGGACAGCCTCCAAATGTGGAAGGACAAAACTGCTGAAGGTAAATAGATAGCAAAAGCCTGCTGAATTATTCCTAAAATCCAGCAGTGTTCCAGCTCCCAGTCAACAAAAAAGCAGCAAAATTAAAAAGGAGAAGAGGAAATCCGGACAGTAGCTACAGCATTACTTGTTTGGCTCCATGGTCAGGATGGCACCTTTACACCAAAAGGTCTGAGAATGGCAGAGGAAGGACCAAACTCCAGGAATTCCACGTTCCTGGCTCACCTCAGCAAAATAGAGTTTTCCAAACAGTTCATAAAGTCCAGCAGCATCTCTGAAAGGGGAGGGGGGCTGGATTTCTTACAGCTAAGCCCACTGCAATACATTTATCTGTCATCTATTTGAGGTTGTGATGTTTCTCCCCCCAAACAGGCTTTCCGGGTGAGGCTTATGTGACAACAAAGAATCAGCATTGTCCCTCCAACCAAGGCCAGTGGATTGTGGGATAGTCCATGAGATGCTCTGATGTTCAGTTTCACATTCCTTAACTGTTTCCTGAAAATCTGCTGGCAGATGCTGGAGTCCTTACAAGTCCTGCTGGTGATAAACACAGAGGTCTGGAGCTGGTGAATGGCTGTGTCGCAGTACCTGAAAAAAGCATCATC